CTGCACCTTGTTGTCTCGGATTCTCCAGCATCTGCAGTTCCTACTATCTCTGATTCAATTTTAACCCCCTCCAAGTGAATGCTTACTTGAGGGATTTACATTCACAGAGAAAAAACATGTAGAGACAAAAATATGCAAACATTGACACACCAAAGAAAAAAAAAACTCTTGAAAAGACCAAATTCAACACCTTAGACTGAGAGTACTAATTTGACCATTCAGAAATGGCTTCTCACAACTGCTTTACAAACATAAAAATGGAAGAGCAACTACAATAAGCTTTGCTTGGTTATTTACATGGACCATTTAATATGATCAAGCTCTGATTTAAAATCTTTAAAATCCTCCAATCACGCTTTGCATTTTCTTATGTCAGTGTTGAAAACAAACTGATCTGCTCATTTTTAAGAGATTTCAGAATGGTTTTGTTTCATACAGTGAAGGATTCCTCACATATTAAGTGCAGAAATAATACTGACCTCAATCTAAATTGATTGAAATTAGTGATGAAGCAGATTGATCAGCACCCAAGTCCTCAAATGAATTCCTCAGCAACTGAAACAAAATTGATCTTGGAATCAATGCAGAATACCTGAAAAACATGGAAGCATTGAGTTTAATTATGTTACATTGCTGTTGTGTAATTAGGCATGTTTAAACATGAAAAACATAGTCTATTTCGATCTTTGTCTTAAGTTTAAAAGTCAAGAAGCTGCCACTGTACACTGCAAATATTTGTAACAGGAATAGTTTTCACTAGTCGCAAAATTCCAAGACCATTTTATGGGAGGACTGAACGGCTAGATTTTTTTCAAAAAATCCATTTGGGATTCAGAAGACACAGCTCCAATCTTGGATTTGGAAAGCACTGTCTGCTTAAAGATCTTAAAGTGTTATTGCACACAGAGAGAAAATAATTAACAATTAATTGCATTAAACACAGCTGGAAAACTAATGCAGTCCATTAGAATTGAACAGGGCACATTTGCCTGGATAAGTAGAAAGGTTGGTGATATAGTTATGTGTCTTTTCACAATGTCAGCACCCATATGCCATTTCAAAACGAAATGAATTTACATGACACTCAAGCTTGGAACACTTAGTTTAATCTAAGTAGAACCAACTCAACATGGGGTCTTAGCATTCTAGTAAGGCTTGCAGTTGGTAATGCGAACATCTCACATTTTCCACATCCATTGCTCAGAGCAAAAACAGATTAATTTAAACAGCTGAAAAATGACCTCTTCTTGAAAAAAAAAGTAGCACAACTAAAATGATTTTCTATTCTGTGAATGATTAACCATTAAATCATGATAGATTTTTGTGTCTGCCTTCAGCAGTGAACGGTGAAAGAACGAGGTTGAGAGAAAAATGACAGCTGCAAAGGTTCTGCTTAGCACGCTCAAGGAATGAAATTCTTTGGTGAAAAGCTAAGGCAATCTTCACAATGCATCATCTATCAGGTCGTGTGCAGTAGTCGGGGAATGATCCTGCTGCGAGGACAGGTCTGATGTTATTCAGGTAAATATGTCAAGCCCAAATAGGCACATTAGAAGCACAGTGTTTAGCTGCATTACCATCTCACTCTCACTGCGCAAAATAAAATATCATTTGAGTTCTACATAGATTAAAACCTTCACATGCTTTAGCGGCTGTGATAAATCTCCAAAGTCAGCAATCCATAGACAGTAAACAGTCATGTCTAGTAGGTAAATTTTATCCATTTCTAGCTGCGAAAGGAAGATGGAAGGGGTGCAGGAATGTGGGCAAACAATGGGCATCATCAGGATTCCTACTGTTACTCAACATAATGATTATTCAAGACAGGTGAAAATTTACCAACTCAAGACATTTATGTGGTTTCATCAGCTCACAATCTTTTTAAACTACTTAATCAACATTCTTAAAATTCATTGATGGAATGTGGGAATTACTAGCAAGGCCAGCATTTATAGCACACTGTTACATTTCCAAGGTGAACTGCCTTCTCGAGTTGGTCCTATAGGGAATCTCACCCTATACTCGCCACTTCTTCAAGTAAGGTATCCTAGCAATCAGCTAAACCCACCATCGACTAATGGCCACTGGGAACCCTGCCAGACAGTCAGTGGGTGTGTTCTTCAACTTCTCCACTTTGAAAGCAGAGGCTTGGATGAAGATCAATAGGGTCAACTCTGACTCCCCTCTGTACTGACACCCATTCGATCACAAGAATAAGAAACATAAGAACATAAGAACTAGGAGCAGGAATAGGCCGTCCGGCCCTTCGAGCCTGTTCCGCCATTCAATAAGATCATGGCTGATCTTTTCGTGGACTCAGATCCACTTACCCGCGTTCTCACCGTATCCCTTAATTCCTTTATTTTTCAAAAAAAATCTACCTTATCTTTAAAAACGTTTCCTGAAATAGCGTCAACTACTTCACTGGGCAAGGGATTCCATAGATCAACAACCCTCTGGGTGAAGAAGTTCCTTCTCAATTCAGTCCTAAATCTGCTCCCTCTAATCTTGAGGCTATGCCTTATAAAGACTTACTTCTTGCCAATCAAGCAAGTGGAGTGGACACTGAGCAACGATCTTTAGGACCCAGAAGCTACTGGCCTCTAATTGGTTGGTGGTGACCCAGGTCAGTGATAGGTCAAGGAACGCAGTCACACTCTGTCAGCATCTAATCAGCTAATAGGCGTGTGATAGGTCAATTATCTTCCAGTTGGTGTGGAATGTTAGTCGCCAACTAACACATTCACCCCATTCAATTTAAAATTGCAAGAAAGGAAAAATCAAGCCTTCTATAATTTAGCTTCCTAAGATCAAAAATGTGATTGATTAAAACTATGCAATCCAATAGCTTAATGCTTCATAACAGAGCCACTGCTTAGTGTTGCTAACCTTGATGGCTCACAAATATCAAACAGCTAACATGAATGAAGTCGCTGCATAGATAAAGAACATACACTGTAAACCAGAGGCAAGATATCTAGGCATTAATGCTGGAACTCTATCTGAAAGCAATGAGTTAAAAAGCCTGCTTTATACCTCCAATCTGTTTTGATGTTGTTTTCATGTTTAGTCGTCCCTGAATTTCTTAAAATGACACCCGCTTTATGCTTTTAATAAGATGAAGCAGGTTAACTTGAGGCACTGCATGGGTCAAATGCAGTCAAACATTTACACTGCCTTAGGTAACTCTGCCAATTCATGGCACCACTCTCTTCACGACGCTATATTTTTGACTTTGCAGCACTCTGGTTCAGTCTACGTGTTGGATACAGAAAACCAGTGATTCTTAGATTTAACAATTACACCTTTTGCCTCACCCGAATTTTGGCCTCCTCCAACACCACTCCCTGAACTGTTTTCTTCAGCTGTTTTCTTCAAAACACTTACGTATCCATTAATGTAAATGTGAATCTTCACCAATTTCTTCATCATTCTTCTAATACCAACAGACTGATCAAACAAAGACTGTAGGTGTCCTCTCTGCCTGACATTTTGGCTAAGCTGTCACTGCTCTTGCAACAAGCTCAATAGTTGATATTGTTGAGTTTCCGTAATATGGAATGAATCATGACCAATTCTCTTCTTCACTCAACATGAAGCACAAGAAATGAAGGTCAGGTACAATTTCCTCACCACTACTCTGTCACAGAGTAGTGCAAAGTACTAATTGATATACAAAATCAGATCAGAAATATCCCACTAAATCTTTCCTATTCATATATGCCTTTTACATATTGTAATTGTACCAGCCTCCATCACTTCATGGCTTAATGGCAAAGAATCAGAAAGAAAGTTGTATTGTCTACACAGTCCATCTGATCTCTTTCACATGAAGTGACAAATCATCTTTCATACTGTTACTTTGCTCTCAGCTATTGTATTCCATTGAACTTTGAGAAATGGAGATCAGAAAAACTTTATTCTGAACCTTTATCATCCTTTTCTTTTGTGATATAACCTACACATTAATTGGAGAGATTTTTTTCCCTGCTGTCACAACTACTGTTGAGCCTGTTGAAAACTGGAGTGCTTATTACTTATCCTTATGAAAGATAGTTATATTGACTGTTTCCATTGTAGTCTAAGATCAGTGTACAGATGAAATGAATCATCACTGCAGCAGAGTCAACCAATCTTTCCAATTACTAACTGACCTATGTACTTTTGCATTACATCTTTCTTGAAGATTGTCCTTGATTAAAATCTGAAAGATTGTTTAAAACTTATGAAAAAGTCACTAATCAATGAAGGCTTTTGCTTTGACTTTTCAGCTAATAGGTGTAAGATGAGATAGTAGGTAGATTTTAAGTTCTCATTGCTCAGATGTAGCTTTATGAATTCAATCAGAAGCTGCCACAACGGATAACATCCTCCCAACCACACACAAGAACTAATGAGGAAACCTTATTGGGTTTCTTTGATGCACCATATTTATTCACATGCGTGTTCCTCAAAAATGGTCCAGTTGCATCAATATACAGAAAATTCTTACATCAAGTCAACTGCTGTTGGCTGCAGATGGAGCAAGTACTGACTTTAAAACACTGACTCAATTACAGCTTCAACAGTCGTCATTGTAGGATGGACAAAACACAAAAGTTTATTTAGATTAAAACCCTTTACAACCTTGACCAACTTAACTCAACCTAAGCTTTGCAACAATCTTGGAATATTTCAGCTTAGAATATTTACCCAAATTAATCACAGACCAGGTTTATTTATGGTCAACCATGGCTTAAAAGTTAAGCTCTGTCTTCTATTGGCAGCGTATATTCCAAAACTTACAGTGCGTTGCTATGACAGCAAACATGCATTAAATGGTGCAAATGAAAAAAAAATCATCCAAAAGAATGCAACTTCCGTGATTTTTTTTCCCTTTATTTCTTCATGGGATGTGGGTGTCGCTGACTAGGTAGCATTTATTGTCCATCCCTAATTGCCCAGAGGGCAGTTAAGAGTCAACTACATTGTTGTGGGTTTGGAGTCATATGTAGGGTAGACCAGGTAAGGATGGCAGTTTCCTTCTCTAAAGGACATTAGAGAACCAGATGGGTTTTTCCAACAGTTGACAATGGATTCACGGTTATCATTAGATTCTTAATTCCAGACATCTGTTGAATTCAAATTCCACCATCTGCCATGGCGAGATTTGAACCTGGGTCCCCAGAAGATTATCTGGGTCTCTGGATTAACAGTACAGTGATAATACCACCAGGCCATCTTCTCCCTTAAAGAGTAAAAAAATTGAGCCCTGTCAATAGAGTCGCAGAGTCATAGATTCATACGGCACAGAAACAGACCCTTCAGTCTAACTCATTGCACCAATCAGACATCCCAATCTGACCTAGTCCCATTTGCCAGCATTTAAAGTCATACAGTACTAGAGATATATAACATAGAAACAGACCCTTCGGTCTAATTCGTCCATGCCAACCAGATATCTGGAATAAATTTAGTCCCATTTGCCAGCATTTGGCTCACATCCCTCTAAACCCTTCCTATTCATATACCCGTCCAGATGCCTTTTAGATTTTGTAATTGTACTGCCTCCACCACTTCCTTTGGCAGCTCATACCATAAACGCACCACCCT